GTTGGGGTTGGTGGGGGGAGGGGACTCAGATCTTGCCGGGGAAGGTCCCCTCCTCGCGGTACTCGTCCCACGTCGTCACCTGCGGGGGGGGAGGGGACATCATGGTGACGTCACGGTGAGGTCACGAGGGACGTGGTGACATCATCAAGGGTCCGTGGTGACATCACGGGGGGCTTGGTGACATCATAAAGGGACTTGGTGACATCACAAGGAACATGGAGACACCATAAATGGACCATGGTGACATCACGGGGGTCTTGGTGACACCATAAAGGGACCATGGTGACATCACAAGGAACATGGAGACACCATCAATGGACCATGGTGACATCACGGGGGTCTTGGTGACACCATAAAGGGACCATGGTGACATCACAAGGAACATGGAGACACCATCAATGGACCATGGTGACATCACGGGGGTCTTGGTGACACCATAAAGGGACCATGGTGACATCACAAGGAACATGGAGACACCATCAATGGACCATGGTGACATCATGAAGGGACTTGGTGACATCACAAGGAACATGGAGACACCATCAATGGACCATGGTGACATCATGAAGGGACTTGGTGACATCACAAGGAACATGGAGACACCATCAATGGACCATGGTGACATCACGGGGGACTTGGTGACATCATGAAGGGCCACGGTGACACCCTGGGGCCACCGAGGGCTGTGGGGCCACCAAGGGGACATTAAAGGGTCACCAAGGGGCCACCATGGGGACATTGAGGTGCCACCAAGGGGCCACCGAGGACCATGGGGCCACCAAGGGGACATTGAGGGGTCACCAAGGACCATGGGGACATTGAGGTGCCACCAAGGGGTCACCAAGGGGCCATTGAGGGGCCACTGAGGACCATGGGGCCACCAAGGGACATTGAGGTGCCACCAAGGGGATGTTGAGGGGCCACCAAGGACCATGGGGACGTTGAGGTGCCACCAAGGGGCCACCAAGGGGACATCAAGGGGCCATTGAGGGGCCACCAAGGACCATGAGGACATTGAGGAGCCACCAAGGAGCCACCAAGGGGACATTGAGGGGCCACCAAGGGGTCACCAAGGGATCATTGAGGGGCCACCAAGGGGCCACCAAGGGGCCACCAAGGGGCCACCAAGGACCATGAGGACATTGAGGTGCCACCAAGGGACCACCAAGGACCATGAGGACGTTGAGGACCATGGGGCCACCAAGGGGCCATCGAGGGGCCATCGAGGACCATGGGGCCACCATGGGGCCACCGAGGTGACTTGATGGGGACATTGAGGGGCCACCAAGGGGACATTGAAGGGCCGCCAAGGGACGTTGAGGGGTCACCAAGGACCATGAGGACATTGAGGGGCCACCAAGGGGACATTGAAGGGCCGCCAAGGGACGTTGAGGGGTCACCAAGGACCATGAGGACATTGAGGGGCCACCAAGGGGACATTGAAGGGCCACCAAGGGACGTTGAGGGGTCACCAAGGACCATGAGGACGTTGAGGTGCCACCAAGGGGACATTGAGGGGCCACCAAGGACCATGGAGAACCCTGAGGAGCATGGGGCCACCAAGGGACATTGAGGGGACGTTGAGGGGCCACCAAGGGGCCACCGAGGACTTGATGGGGTCATTGAGGGGCCACTGAGGACCATGGGGACATTGAGGTGCCACCAAGGGGCCACCAAGGGGACATCGAGGGGCCACCAAGGACCATGGGGACGTTGAGGTGCCACCAAGAGGCCACCGAGGGGCCACCAAAGGGACATTGAGGGGCCACCAAGGACCATGAGGACATTGAGGTGCCACCAAGGGGCCACCAAGGGGATGTTGAGGGGACATTGAGAGGCCATCAAGGGGCCACCAAGGACCATGGAGATCCCTGAGGACCATGGGGCCACCAAGGGGACATTGAGGGGCCACTGAGGGGCCACTGAGGACCATGGGGCCACCAAGGGGACATCGAGGGGCCACCAAGGGGACAATGAGGGGCCACCAAGGACCATGAGGATGTTGAGGGGCCACCAAGGACCATGGAGATCCCTGAGGACCATGGGGCCACCAAGGGGACATCGAGGGGCCACCAAGGGGACAATGAGGGGCCACCAAGGACCATGAGGATGTTGAGGGGCCACCAAGGACCATGGAGATCCCTGAGGACCATGGGGCCACCAAGGGGACATCGAGGGGACATTGAGGGGCCACCAAGCGGACGTTGAGGGGCCACCAAGGGGCCACC